CTACCATCTGTAGATTTGAGGCCCTCGCCATAATTGCATATTTGCACTATTTATTATTCTTCTCAGTACATAGGTCAAGGGAGTTGGATCCCAAAAATTATTGTTCGTTCTATTAACATGAAGAACAACAATTCTTCATAAATGAAGGCAATACTTCGTTCCAGCCCTCACACCGATCGCAGTGACAAATGTCCCAGACCAGCTGCCATGGTTTTGTGCTAGGTTCATAAACGGCTAAAAACAAAGTGATATATTACTGAGTAGAAGATATATTGCTCATCTACTGCTAATTAGCCACAGCAGTTCATAAGCTAGCTAATTTAACGACAGTCAGAAAAGGCGCCGAACGATCTTGCTATCTTTATGGGGCCTGCAAGTTATGTGCCTTTTCTCATATCCATCCAAGAGCTAGATTGTCTGTTTTTGGGGTGCTGGAAAGGACATTAAATTTTCTACTGGTATATTCAGAGAGACAATAGACGTTAGGAAAAAAATGCCAGATTTTCAAGCTACAGAAAACCATCCTGTCTTTACAACAGCCCTAAACTTGCAAAACTAACAACACAAATATCAATAGACCGGGAGGACACAGAGACAAATTATGCATACTTATTTAATATTAATTTTGATATATGTGCGGACCTTACACTCTTACAATTAACTACACTATACTTTAACGTCGAGTGGTTCCTAATACGCCACACCGATAACCCGGTGACCATAGGTACCTCATATGAAGAAGTGTGGCCCACGCTATCCCCTACTATTCATGCAACTCAGCCGACGAAATTGGCCTTTGCCAACAAACAGTCAAAATCTGTTGAGATGGAGTACTTCAGAGATAAAATATCTAACGCCGCAGAACAACTATGCGAATAACATACTTGTCGCTCTTCTTGATTGATGTTTAAAAAGACTATCATGTGTAGTATGCACAGTAAAAGTAAGATAACATCAGAATAAGTTGAAAGAGGAAAAATCAGAAATGGAAGTTTCGATGTACAAACATCAGCCAACAGTCAGCACAACCAACCGTTCAAAAGCTCTGATTCATTGTTATAGAGCATTTATAAGAACCCGTAGGTGATGGAAGTGCATTCGCGTTTATAAAGCAGAAGGGTCAGCTTTATAGCAAGGTTTGTATTTATTATTTTCAAAACATGAATCTACAGAATTTGCTTATTTCAGCTACTTTGCGTTTTGTTTTCGGTTGCTGGCATTTAGTGTGTGGAGTGCCCAATCAAAGACACTGGCGAAATGCAAGGCAGTAAGCCTTAATGGGCCTACTTGCATTTTAGTGGAAAGAAAAATTTTATCCCACAATCACCACGATAATACCTGAGTAAGATTGCTTGTCACCATCCAGATACATAGGGAGTTCCACAAAACCTGACAAGCTATTTATAATCGCTATGGCAAGGGCGTTCGCGAAGTTCAGTGGACTCTTGATTATGGAGTTGGCACTCAAACACTACGACGAAGGCACCAGTCGCGCTCACGCTATCTCTAAATAAATATTCAATACAAAAACGAAACTGGGTGTACAATGCTATGATAAGAGGGATAAATCCGAATCCCTCCACTTTGATAGAGCTTTGTTGATGTGGACGGCCGAGTGACACTTTATTGGCAGCCATGACCCCCATCGAGTTTGCTTGTCATCCTCCAGATACAGCTTGTGTCTGTTAATTTCGCATAATCGCCGACTTCTTAGTGCTGAGAAGTCCTTCAGATTTGACAGGCGCGAGCCAGACAGCTAATGGCAGACGAACCTGCCAGCTACGATCAGTAGACTCTAATTGGCTCATTTTAAGTTGCACTACGGGACGTCCATGCTAATTGTTAGACTGATCAAGAGACGGTGGGGTTTAAGCTCAAACGGCTGTTTTTTCTGGAAGCGCACGAGCAACACAGATAACGAGGCGTTGCATATCTCCTTGATTTGCATTTACTGAGCAGACACTCATCACTAATAGGCAGATTTCTGCGGTAATCTTCAGCATATAGAGAGGTTGGTCCCTAATTTGTTTGCTTGCATAAACCGGACTTTAACAGCTGAGTAGCAAAGACCGGTGAAATAAAACAACTGGACAACATCCAGCAATCATCTGAAAGCGGAAATGTATTTGCTTACAAGCTACTCTGAACCAACCAATTATGATTTGGCAAGCAGAACAATCAAAGATATAGCAAGAAATTGTGTTAAGAGTTAGCCAGAAGTCCATTGTGGTTATGATTCTAGGATTGTGCACCGCAACTTTTGTAGTATTTTTCATAATCGGAAGTTATTAATTCTTTAAGAATTCGTTTCCGATAAGCTCTTATTAGAGGCGAGCGCTCCCATTGGAGGCAGTATATGTTAAAGACGCAAAAGCGAGCTGTGAATTGATTTCTAAGTTGCTTGGGTAATACAATCAAACGCTTAAGGATAGGCTGTTGATGATAAAGCGCGCGAAAAATGTGGTTACCTCAAACACTTATCGTTTGAAACAAATCGGTTAACTTGCAACCAGATATCGCAGCAACATTGCCTATAGGGTATGGTAGAAACTTTGGCCCTATATACCGCATTTGCACATGTATTTCCTGTTTTGCCTAATGCACGTGCATAGCCAAGGCAACCTCCAGGAGCTGTTTGCGGAAGCCTAGTGAGGAGCGCCTAGATGGCATTGCAATTTTTCTCAGAATAGCAACGTCCATAATCAATCAGGAGCGAAATAATACAGCTGTTTGAGTACACCACAACATTCTCGTCAACCCTCGCTGGGAAAGCTTGTGATTACACCGAGATAGACGATTCAGATAACCTTCTTGCTGCCACAGCTACAGTGAACAAGTGACTAAGTGTTAATTAGATTATGATCTGTACTGGCTAGATTTACACCGCAAATTTTAGTATTTGTAAACACTAGCTGAGCTTCGTAACCAGATTTCTCAACAGCATAACAGAAACAATGTCGATGCCTACTTCCATATAGTTTCCACTAAAAAGCAGTTTTGTGAGCTTTTAGAAAAACTTCCGTAAATGTTCTTTTCTTTGAGTTCGTGTTCACGTACACTGCTACAAATACTCGGAAAATCCATCATCCATATGAAGTACTGCGTTGTTGAGTTGATGCTTTGTTGAAGTGATGTCTTCGTGTTCCTTTTCTATTGCATAGTGTCCATAAGCTTGATAAGGTTCTTCGAAAGTGACACGGACAAATACTCGATCCCATTTGGTTAAACAAACTATAAAAACAGTTTATTCTCCTTTCTATACTGGACTTCGCTATACGGAACGAAAGATTATACCATCTGGCTTTCAGTACAAGTTAACATCCGAGGAATAAATTCGCTTTAATTTAAGCAATTGACCACTGAGTAGTGTCAAATTTGACGGAGGTTTCGCTCGTACACTGCTCGCAAAATCGTACATTTTGGTAGATAAAGACGTCTTCCTATTTTGCAGGTCTTCCATGAAGATGCCAGCCAATACTAGACCGACTGCGGTGTTCATGCTTACGCCGTCAATCTGTTAACTCCCATTTCTACTGAAAAGGAACAGAATATTTCTGTGCTGGTCGGTGAAAACTTAAGATCTGTTCTTGTAGGCTTTCAAACTCTACTTGAGCACCTTTGTTAACGTTTATTCAGCGGAAGTGAGAAATTGGACTGTGACAAACTTGCAGGTTGTCAACGACTTAAGATTATAGTAAACATACTTAACATACATCTCTCTTATTCTATCGACTCCGCAAGCGGGATCGGGGAACTAAATTTGAGTTCACTAGCCGATATTTACATACTGAGCGCTTTTCGGTACTAAGCCTCTAAGGAGATTGAATACGGTAGTTGGTCGGTACAATTTAATGCCTGTTCACGAGCTCCAGGCAGCCGCTCAGAGTATTGTAACCAGAGGCGTGAACTAATACAGGGAAAGAGTAGACTTGATAACGTCTCTAACTTATAGGACCAGTACATACCGTTCATGAACTTAGTACAGTCGAGAATCAATGGCACAAAGGGAATGGACTAAAACATAACTGACCATATTCGAGGGGTTTATGAGATGAGCACGAATAAATTGGAGAAAAGCGAGCCACCGTACAGAAATTCGAAGTGCAGAAAAGTGTAGAGCAGGATACAGGCGAATATAGTAAATTAGTGGGGAGTAGCAACCTAGGACTGAATTGTGTACAAGCTAGAATGCGTGAGCAGGTTCCAGAAGAATGCAAAGTTTCCCTAAGGGAGGTAAGAATTGACTATTTATAGACGATTATGGATGGCTTGGAGGAGTGCGTCGGCCCGTGTCATTTTCCTCTTTTATCTTAGTATCTGGATCCCAAGTACTAACAAGTAAACAGAGTACACTGTGAAAATTCATTTTGTCATCTTTAATCAATTTAGCTTAACGCGATTTATCGTACCGTGTGTAATAACAGTTAAGCTAAAACGGAGCTTATGATTTTCCCGGCTACCATCTGGTCGAGAAAAATCTAGAGATTATAAGCGTTGCTTTAGTTGGCAAAATGAGTGCCCAATTAAAATCTAAAACTGCAAAACCATGCAATGCAAAACGAACAATGCTTTCTCATGGTATTGATGTATTTTTGGCGAAACAAACGTGAATAGTTAAGAACCAGAATAGTTACTTTAAACTCCAAGCCAATTATATATTGTGTATCCCATGCAAACTGAGGCAATGCCATCGCCTTTTTTAACTATGACCATATAAGTTTTGTCATTACTATTTGATTGAAAAATGAAGCAACTACTGGAAGATAAAAAGCGCAAACGACTTGCAAATGTGACAGTTGTGATCCATTGAGGTGAGGTTTTTACCTCAAAATGCCTGTCATCAAAAGCGGATGACATGACTACTAGAAATCGGTGGCTTTCATCAATTTGCTAGGCTTTCGGGCACCCCACGCCGAATTTTCTTATGCTCCTGTGAAGTTTGTAAACCTTTAAGCCCAAAGAAACATGTTTATTTCTCTGGTTTCTAACCCATTATCCAGTATACAATCATCGTGACTGTGTTGGCCTTGGGCCACGTCGCAGCTGTCGTATGGTTCGACTTGGACCAATTTAAGGTGAGTTTGAAATAAAACCATTTGTTATAAGAGACTTGTGAGGCTGTAGGTTATTTAAGTTCCATACCAACTTTATTTGATAGTACACATCGCATACATTTTGACCGTATTTTGCCAACATAACTTGAAGAAATTCGAATTATTGCACAAATGTTTAAGACCCATGATTAGAAGATTCCGTAGTTTATGGGTTAGTTGGCACCTTGAGAACTTGGTAGTGAAATGCTTTCCCGTTATCGGCAAATTAACCCAGCACACATTAACAACCTGTGTTTTTGGTTGGCATCAAACTTATTTTGAGAGAAATATGGGAAGGCAGTATTTCTGAAAATATCAGCATTTCCGACGTACGTCGAAACAGTAACTGCTTCTTTAACTTCGCTTATATAGAACATGTTTATATAAATCATCAAATCGAGGCGGGCACTTTTGCGCATCTGAAAAGTTAATACAATTAATTAAAACACCGAATGGTTAGAAAATTATACCGTTCGTTCTTATACCTGGGTACATATTCGCCAGCTGCCACAGATATAGTTTAATGTGTTTGTTTTTCATGCGATGTTGTTATGTTAAACATAACGCACCCGAGGAAATTGCGTTTATCAGGTCTCAAATGATTATTATTATATTATTCTAAATATCGGCCCACTTAAATATGAGTCATTAGTACCCCCGAAATTTGAGTGTAATACAAGCTGCAATAGTTAGATAGTCAACCAGTACTGCACCAAAATAAGTGTCGGTCTTTTGTAATTCTTTTACTATCCCATACTAACTAAGTGTGATGTTATCAGGTTAATTTGGAACCCGGTTCACTATCCGTTTCGCAGACAGGGGGTTTCCTAGGACGATTGGTCCGATCGTGGATGGAGGCATTCGCATCTGAGGAGCGTGGAATGCCGGAAGATCGGATGGCTGCCCTTCTAATGCAAAAAGTAAGCAAATGCTATGCTGTTGCCTGCGCTAACCGAAGCAAATCATTACCCCTTTATTTGTCAAAGTCCAAACTTCAAAAGCAAGCGCATCCAACAATCGTCTTATTCAGATATGGTTGCTGCAATAGGAGTGGTAAAGCAAGGTCAGAAGAATGAACGTTTTGCTTATTTGTGGATGTTTTATACTTTTGACCAAAAACCTGTAGATCAACAGGATGCACTACAGAAATCGCTAACTGGAAGAAGTGTGGACGTTAACGATCTAAAGGTTTAACACTTTATTGTTTCTGTTTAAAAATATAGGCCGCTCAGTATAATTCACATATTTAACCATGCTCTACTCCATGAATTGATGTCGTTCTTGAAAGAAGTTGAACTGAATTTGTGCTGCTAAAAATTGGGTGCGCTGTTTCCTTCCAATATGATAAGGCAGAATCACAACTGAAATAAAAGAAGCTTTTCCACAGTTTCCGTTACATATGATCAAATATTCACCGGATGAAGTTTGCACAAGTACTGCATGCTTGCAAAGTTTGTAGTTGCAAATTCGCTGTTGTGGACCCTTAATGAAATGTTCATTAGTCTCACTTAGCTTCCTCCGGAAGGCAACAAGAATGATGTCATGGAAAAGATACTTTCTACAATTGACTTGGTAATATTTGTCGTGAGCATCCCTCCTCTCTGTATGTTATCAAGACACTCGTTACCTATTTATTTAAGCCAACCGTGTTTGAACAAATTTGGCGAAGATTTTGCAACTCGGGCAGCAAAATGATCTGAATAACTCGACTGAAGAAACGCTTTCGTTACTCACAAAGTTTGAATCGAATTGCGCCAGTTTCTCAAACTCGCGCAACATCACTGCAGATAGAATAAACAAAACATCGTACTAATTTTCTACTTTCGTGATACGGTCCGCTAAAAATTTAGTGAACGGGTTTAACTTAAAGGAGTGTATTTATAACAAAATCCTTCGCATATAAGTATGGTAAGTTAAACGCCCAGCAACCGAAATCTGCACTAATTTACTTGTTAGCACTGCACAAAGGGGGTAATATAAAGTTAAGTGAACTTGGGGAAGTCGCCGATTCAAGTCAGCTGATGCTGAACAGATATTGAAAATCGTCATAACTGATTTTCTTAATGAACAGTGCGAATAAACGGATTAATAAGCCCTGATTTACAAGTCTCGTTGTGTAGTTTGGCGGTTTTGTGGAATTATACTAATATTACTTTAATTATGCAAAGATTGACTTCTCCTTTGTTATGCTGTAGTCTTGCAATTCACCCATTTTCACGGTACCAACACTTACCGGCAAATAGGCCGTAGGTATATGCTAGGAGTAGGATGGAGACATAGTGCTAACTAACAAGTTAGGTGGAAAAGTACGTCATCCAGCCGTCTTTTAAATAATGTTGGTGTATGCAATGAACCATGAACACTGAATTATCACTAGTGAAAAAGCCTGTGCTTGAGAAGTCCCGTAGGACGATTGAAGTCAAAATTAAAATTCGAAGGATCATCGAATAAGTAAATCGTCATTTCAAGCGTCCACTGAGTCAAACGCACTACTGCTTAACGATAGTTTGAAGTGGGAATGGGATGTACACACGCAAACTCGTATAGAGAGCTATTATACTTCAGTAAATGCGTTAGAAGTACCAAAGGAAACGACAATGTTCACTCGTTTGTTTCTTCATTTAGCTGATGTGGAATGTTAATCCAGTTTAGCTACGTCCAGGCTAATCACATGGACACTTCTGCATATATCCTTACCGACACATTGAGGAGAGGGCCGTTAAGCACTTGGTAAGGTTGGCGTTTTTGCGTCCTCCAAGTGGAAGTGTTTCAGCAAGGCGTTTTTTGAAAAGCGTTAATGTAGGGGCAAGGATAACGTGAGTCGGAAGGGCATTCCAGGCACGGAACACACGGAGGGAGAAAACGTTTGATATGCAATCAAGTCGACTGTAGTGCGTAGCCAGTTTGAGCTGATGGCCTCTCAGGTTGGTATTTGGCTCAGCTGCAACAGATTGCGACATGGGTGAGTTGGGTTCGTCAGTATTAAGTAAACCATGATTAGGTCTCCTCGCTGACGTCGATATTCACCACTGTACAATCTCAGGGACTGCAGTCTGTGTTGATAGGAGAGATGGAACAATCCTCTAACGAGTTTGGTCGCTCTACGTTGTAGAGCTTCAAGCACATCGACGTTACACCCGCGCCAGGGACGCCAGGCCTGGATGGTATATTCTACGTGAGCCCACACGTAGGCGTTCAGCAGTTGCGGTATGATTGATGGCTCAAAATTTCCGGATGCCCTCCGTAAGGGGCCAAGATGTTCACTGGTTCTTTTTAACGCTTTTTCAGTCCGTCTCGAACAACCAAGGTCGTGCTGCACGAGCATCCCAGCGTCGTTTTCTTGGGAAGCACGTTGTAAAGGCTGGTCCCCAAGTCGATATTCATAGATAAGCTGATGACGTATGCTTACGACTTTGCACTTCGCCGCTTTGAACCGCAGCCGGTTGTCGGATGACCACACATAAGCCCTATCGAGATCGCTCCGCAGTGCCATGTCCTGCTATCATGTCAAATTTTGACATCATCTGCAAATAGTAAGAAGTTCTACTGCAGAATACTGGCTAGCTCGTTAATGGATGTGAGGAATATACGTAGCTCCAGTGTCGATCGTTGGGGCATGTCAAACTGGACGTCAATTGGGTCGGAAATGGAGTTGCAGACTCTCACTTTCAGCTGCCGCTGAGCGAAGAAGTCGCCAATCTAATCGAGTACAGAGTCACCGATTACATAACTTCGAAGCTTGTGAAGGAGAATACGGTGATCCATGTGATCGAACGCTTTCGAGAAGTCCAGGTAGACAACATCGACTCCCACTCTGGCATCGGCTGACTGTGTCCAGCTTGCTCGGGCTAACAGCAAGTTTGTAGTGCATGATCCATTTCCCCATCATCCGTGTTGCTGTGACACTAGGATCTCGTTGCTCTCAGGATGTCTCGTGAGCGCCTCTGCAATATTACGTTCCATTACTTTGGATAAAACTGGAAGAGGTGTGATTGGACGGTAGTTCGAGAGCTCCGAACGATTGCCACTTTTGTAATTAGGAGTGACTAGTCCATGTTTTCACGTTGTCCGAATCTACATTCCGTCGGGACAACGATGAAAGAACCGAGCAAACGGTTCGGCAAGGTTCATGGCCGCTGTCTTCACTGCCTTCTGTTTGATGTCGTCCACGCCAGTTGAGCTGTGCATGCGCAATGAGGTTAGCATTTTCATCACATTGGCTGCCGTGATCGATGCGTTCTCTAACCCTGGTGACGATGGAAGCTGTGTAAAAAGCAGAAGAAATGGTGACTCACTCCGGAAAGTGTGGATGAAGTGTTGGCGAAGCACGTTGGCTGCATCTTGTGCATTTTGCGCAAGACCATCTGTTGCGGGATCCCGCGCTGCATTCTGCAGATTTTGTTGACGTTTTTATACAGTCACTCGGGATTTGTACTGAATTTCGCCGCTAACTTCTGTTGGTGCTGGAGTTTGTCTTCGCCGATCAAATTAACGCAGTGGTTTCGTTGAGTTGTGTAAGCACGCCAGGTCAGATTACTTGAACAGACTTTGGAAGTGCGCCAGGCTGAATCCCTTAAGGCCATGCATTTTATAGTACGGTTCCTCAGGCAAAGGCGCTTTCTTTCTGACGCATTCGTCACTAGGTCAGCGAGTTGGGTGACGAACAATATCCAGGCGACATTGGGCTGCTTCTCGGACAGGAAAGACTAGTTGGTTTCTTGAACGAGTTTGGACTGAATATCGAAATGTGTAATGGCATGGGTTTCCACGTTGTTCTCACTGATGTACTCCCAGTAACAGATGTAAGGAAAGAGCTAGATCGTGTGATTGCTTTATAGCCAAGTGGTGCGTCTATGGTCACGGTGTCGACCATTAGTTCCTCGTTGGAGAGCACAAGGTCCAAAACAGAGTGTATCACCCTATCGGAATTGCGTGAGAGTTAACATGGTTGTACAGAGGTACATCGGCGATCACCTCGTGCAAATCCGTCTTGAATTGTTCGCTGTGCGATGCCGGAACTTCGATTGCTTGCAGATTAATGTCCCCCACCAGAAGGAGGTGTGCGTGTGGTTATGCCAGCAATCGTTTCATCGCAGAAGCTAGGCATTGATCCATTTCCGAGGTGGATATTAGAGGGCGGTAAACTATTGCCAGTAAACACACATCACCACGTCTTAGGTGCATACAACAACAAAGACAGTCGACGACTTTGGTTTGTGCCTCCTCAGTCACATCAACATGCAGGTAGGGTCGATAATACAGGAATAATCCTCTCCTCTGCTAGGTCGATCGTTTCGTATGGAACTCATGCCGAGTAGTGCAATCTCAGCACTCGTGGTCTCTGTGTTCAGCCATGTTTCGGTGACCATAACCAGGTCCCAAGGAGTGGTGACCTGACGAATACGAAGTTTGGTTAGCTTGCTGAGAAGACCTTGTGCATGGTTATATAAGCAGATAAAGGCATCGGTTGTCAGAAGCATGTTTGGGAATGCTGGTTTCCGGTGGGGGTCAATGCCGACGCTTGCGGGGTCGGCTGCCAGTCGTTTTTTGTAGGAGTGATGACGCAGGCCCTAGGGCCAGTTAAGGTTGTTGCATGGAGCTTTCAAAGCCAACAAGAGGGTAACCATCCTGTCCTCTTCCAGCTGTCTTTGTCTTTTGGCATTGTTTCCGTTCTGAGCTACACGGTGACAGAATTGTATTTGTAAGTTGCTTGCTCAGTGTTACATTGTCTATCTGTGGCTCGGTGCCTATTGCCTTTATACCTATTTCGGATGGCAGCTTTTGTGTCACAGCTTTTCGTGCCACATTTTGATCACATGTTGTGCCATCAGTTCGGAGTGCAGTGATACATATACCACTCGAGGATCACACCCTTTGTAGTTAGGTGACAGCGGTAACATTGAGGTCGAATTAACGATAACATTTTCGGATGAGAGTACTTCAGGAATAAAACGCCATTCATCCCAGTTATGCTCTTTGGTCTCTAGCTCGCTTAATGACTGGAGTTCGGGGACACCGTGAACAAGGACAACTTTTGCGTCTTGTTGTTTACGGAAGTCATCCGCATTTTGTTTGAGTTTTGACGTTCGCCCCAAGGAACATTTGGAACGAGTCGAGCAGTGCATGTGGTGATACGGAGGTGAGTGGCTGACAAGAGAACTGCCTCTGCATCCTTACTTAACTGATGTGTTACCTGGAGTAACCGCGGTTCACCAGGGTGTAAGGAGTTTGGGTGACGAACGCGACGCATCATACTGACTGCTTTAGCATGAAACCCTATTAGTTGACATAGGGAGTCCCACTTTTTGTCGTCTAGTATCTTATCTTTTTGGAGTTTCATACGCTCTTTTTTGGAAGGACCAGTGGCTGCTTTCTTCGGCTGGACAAATGTTGGGTTCATGAGACCCGTGGTGGTATTGGCAGTGGTAACTAGTTTGGCAGCAGGAAGGGTTGCAATGGGAGGTGGTTCCGTCATACGGGTAACAACAACGGATGTATAGGTTGTCGGCCCTCTAACAGTGTTTAGTGTGGCAGAAACGATCCATAGAGGGAAAACGTTTCACGCGTAAGACACGCAAACAATAAAGCAATTTCGGAGGTACTCAGGACGGCTATAATATTAGGTTAGTTTCAAGTGGTGACTACTCAAGTTTGTTGTACTGCTGAGCTTCAGTAAACAGCGGCCCACGTGATTTGGATTGTGTAAACTCAAGTAGACAATTATCAGTTCTCCTCGAAATAGGCGCTGTTGTTCGCTGAGTACCCCCGACTTTTTCATCCTCTGCTCAAGTGAGAGATTGCACATTCTAATGAGGTACTTGAATGCCCGACTTTGAGGCCACCCCGTTGCATTAGGGTCATGCTTTAGCCTTGGATTCTAGCCTTGGACTGCATATTCCACATGGGCGTGGAGATTTGCATTGACCAATTTTCGAAAAATAGGGATGTCTGTTTGTCCGAACATCCTTTGCAACAGACCGAAGTGCCAAATGACAGCTTTTGGTACCTTTCGGATTGCCTAGAGCAATCCACGTAATCCTGAAACAGCACCACCGGATCACGTGCTACCAAAGATGGTTGCAATAAGTTCGTTGAGAGCCTGTATGAGTAGTTGTGCTAGTGTCGTATGGAGAGTACTTTGCATTTACTGACATTGAAATGCGGCAAATAATGAGTGGGCTAAGGATATATTGTGTCTTGGTCAATCTGAAGTAGATGCCGGTCGGTATTCACCTGAATCCTGCGCCAATTTTGGATGTCGTCGGCAAACAATAGGAAGTTTGAAGCGATTTCCTTTGCGAGATCCTTATTAAACACCAAAAACAACCTTGGACCTAATATCGAATCTTGCGGCACACCACAATCGGCTTGTACTGGAGAAAACAAAGAGCTCCGAGCTCTGACCCCTAATTGCCGTTGTAGAAGAAAGTTGGCGATTTTGCTCAAGAGAAGGTCACCGATTCCGGAGTACTAGAGATTGGAGGGGAAGAACTGATTATCTAGGCTACCGAATGCTTTCGAGAAATCCAGGTAGATTACACCAACCTCCTCTCCCGCGTCAGCTGGCTTCGTCTAACTACACCAAGCGATTAATAAATACGTTATGCACGATCGCTGTCGACGGAAACCGTGCTGCTCGGGAGTAGTAGTTACAATTTTCCAGATAGCATAGCAACTTATCGGCGGAAACGTATTCCATGGGCCTGGACAGTATAATGAGAAAATATACTAGGCAGTAGCTAGAGAGCTTAGTTTTGCTTCCGCTTTTGTGTATCGGAACTATTGTTCCAAGCTTCCCCATGGCAAGAACTTGGTCATGTTCTGCGTAGCGCTAGAAAAACTGAGCCAATGGCTCGGCCAGTTGTCTTTTTGCTGCTTCCAGTGCTGTTGGAAGCAGGGTATCGACAGCCGGGAAGCCGTCCTTGTGTACAGGCGTCGGCATTTGTAAGACGGCTTCAGCGGTAAAAACGATATTGGTTAATCCTGCATCCCCTAGGGGACAAGTGCTGAAAGATCGCCTGATGGCTAGACCATGGGAAACGAGGGCACATTGAATCCACAGCGCGTTTGGTGTTTCTTCAGCTGTTTTCCTTTGGCTGTCTGCCATCATGAGTAGTAGAGATAACTGCTTCAAATGCCTTAGGCCGTTAAGTTACTAGTAGAGCAGTTTATGTCTTGCGCTGAAGGTGGTTGCAATGAGCTGCTGACATGCGGCCTTGTCTCCTCTGAGCAATCGAGTACAGTGATTATGGTGGACTACTTAGTTGTCCCGGTTTTCTGGCGTTGGAACTACTCTAGCTACCTGTCATGCCGCGTTGAGTACTAACATCCATTTTAGCGTTCTTCTCCAAACTAAAAAAATTGATTTAGCTCCTGGAAGTCGCCTACCTCAAGCTAGGCGACTTCCAGGATTTCTACGGCAATCAGCGACCGGGGGTGTAGCGCTCACATGCTGGGTTAATTGATAATAACATGTGGTGATTAGCGCCGTCTCATCGTTTTCATTCCGAAATTCTGCAACATAGATGAAACGGAAACTAATGACTGCATGATCACCCTACCCAAATGGCGCTCTACAACCAACACGTCAATCAGATACTCCTCGCTGGTAGGCACAAGATCTAACACAGGTTGTCTGTTACTTGTCCTGAACCTAGTGGGCAATAAAATGAAAAGCAGAACAGGCGTTACGAGCTCTTCCAGATCGGTTTTGAATTGTTCTCCGATCATGCAGGTTTTTCCAAACAATATACGACAACATCACATGTGATCCAGATGCGAGTACATTTTCCCTTTATGGTGCATCAGAGAACAGCCATGAGGTGAAACTCCATTTCTTCGTAAAGTTTGGGTGAAAGTACACAAGGCCAGAAGGCTGGTTAATACGTTTTACTATTAGGGAATTCCTTTAAGTCATCCGGAAATTGACAAGCATCATTACTTGCAGACGCTTTTACACGGTTCCCTTGTTGTATTTTTGTATCCGGCCAGTTCTTGAATGGCGTGAAAGTACAACTCAGTTGGTTCGGCAGTATAACCCTTTTAACGAAGCGCAACCTTGCCCAATTAATCCCGTTACTTACAGAATGTTTTACTGTGGACATTTCGTCTTTGCTTTTTCAGTTAAGGTGTTGCGGATATCAAAATGGATCTGACTTTCAAAAATCAAAGGCCTTCACAAAAAGAGATACTGTAGCTGGTATCCCAATGACTGGTAAGGTTTGCGGTTTTTTTCATCTTTAGACACCAATCAAATGCCCCATATTCTCTTTCCTTTCGAAATTGACATCAGATGAAATATTCTACCATAAAAACATACAAGAAAAAATATTTTAGCCCAACTCATAAGTGAAAGACGCTAACGACTTTTCATACGACATCATAACTGCACCACATGCTTCCAAAAGTTAATTGAACGATTTTTCCTAGCACCAATATCCTTTTTCCTTTCACATTTCTCGTGGCTTTGCTCGGACGGGCAGCAGAAAAAACAACTGGCTGTCGCCACCCTGGACAGCTGCGAATAGTCGCAAAAATTCAAATACCTTTGGAGCCATACATGGTGTATATATATATATAAATATATAGAAAGAGACACAGACGGCTGCCTCAAGCAACGACATATAACAGAGAGAGACAGAGACATATAACAAAGAGGACAAAAATGACGGAGGGAATACACTGTACATTGACCAACGGTGCATGGTTTAGGATAAAATTAGAGCATCTGCTTTGGATATCTACAAGACGTTAATTGAACTTTGAGTGATTAATTTCTCTCCGATGCTTGTATGCTTGAATTCACTGTAGTCACAGAGATCATCTTTGACTCAGTCAAATTTCTCGGCATGTGCACCCAAGTCTTCTCAGCACGGTATTCTTCACCCGTGGTACTTTAAGACTTTAATGTTTGCGTGCTCACCTGTGTCCACTAAACTTCTGTTCTTACTGATTGCCATTGATAATGATGCGCGTTATTTCTTTGCCCCCTTCGACGGACACTGTTCTTAGATCTGACTTTCATGAAAGACCGCTCGATTTTATCTCAATTCAAGGATACCCGCTCAAGTTAGTAAAACAGCATGATAAGCAGAAGAAAGTGGGTGTCAACTACCTTAAACCTGCTTCCATCAAAATTAATGATGACAGACTGCTCAATGGGCAAGCATAGCACATTTGAGTAGCTGCAGGTGGTAGTACACTTCAGATATCATCCAATTCATCGATTTACGGGTGTACTAAATAAACCCATTGATGCAGTTAGAAAGATATCCTGTCCTATTTGTGTAAGCTAACTTACCGAATTACTACTAATTTCATGGCCCAATGGTCTAGTTACATTTGCATCAAAATATGCTCAACAGGTTGCTGCTCATTTGTATTTTGTAATCGTTTGTTCACGCTGTGTAATGATGTGAATGCCTTGGAGGCCATGCGCTATGCAGCCAGTATATTTTACCTAGGTGGTTCAGATCTCCGTTGTCTGTTAAATTTCTATCTCCCAAACGTGCCATTTATACTTCGATGACCGCCAGCTTAGCAAGACAATATTGTCTGCACAATCAAATTCAACTAGTCTTTCACGCGTCGGCTCCTCAATGCATGCATTGTAAGATCCCTCAAAGGAATATCCCATGATGGATTCCACGGAAAATTGAGCCTCCTTGACGAACGCCACTTGTTGACGTCAAGGCATTCGACAATTCCCCTTATATCCTTATGCAACCTGTGGTGTTTGAGTACTGGGCACATACAACGTTCACACATTTCATGGGAACACCATTTTGAGCAACTATTTCGAACCGAATGCCTCAGTCCACTTAGTCGAACGCACTCTTGTAGTCCAGGAACACAGGTCTGCGTGGCGCTGCTCTAGCACTTGTCGCGAAGTGAATGTGTGGTCTATACAGCCAGGTCCTGTGCGAAAAACCTACTTGCTCTTCTGTAATCCGGGAGTTTCGTTCCGCAGTAAGGAGACGAACGTGACTCGAGGCCAGCAATTTTGTCATAACCGGACGTTAGGCTAATACCGCTGTCGGTAACGGACTGCCCTTTTTGTATATTGCCACCACAATCGATTAACTCCATTTAGTCTGGATGGTTTCTTCCTTCCAGACATCGAATAGGTAGGTCAACATTTTCCCGAGAACCCCACTATCGTCCCTAACTTCTTTTTGCAGGATTTATTTTCCGCCATTGTTATAAAAAAAATTGTTTATGGTTTCACTAACATACAGATACTAAAGAAAGTTGAGACAGTTATTTTGATTACAAAGTATACTATAGATATAAATTTGGGTATGATGCAAAAACGCGACATCAGGCACTATTGGGCAAACTTTTGATTCGACAAATTTCCCAGTCATCGATATGTAAACGGTTTATCGAAGCAGCATTTGGTCGACTCCTCCTGTCCACAATCCAAATTGCAACATCTCTTACGTAACAATCATGAAAAATCAAATGAGCGGAAACAGTGTTACTCGTGAAATTCTCTAAAACAGTTCTTCGTCTTGCTGACGCACAGGTGAGCATTGCACTTTGTGCACTCCATTACTGTCTGGCCCGTAAAATTTGGGCGTTTGCACTGCTGCCGTGCACGATCAACCAACCACTGGCCAGTAACCCACAGAATCTGTCCAGACTTCCAGTGATGCAATAGCTTGAGCTGAATCTCGGCGTTTCTTCCTTTTTAACCCCGTTTCCATTGATGATGAAGGCTGTCCCCTCTTCTTCGTTGATATGTCTGGCTTTCATGAGCGGTGCCTCTGTAATAGATAATCTGAAAGCAAGCGTCTTTCTGTTTCTGTAGAGCTACAGCCAGGAAGTCGCGATCATGTCGATAGAGTAACCAGCAGTTGACTAATACCATGTCAACAAAGTGGAAAAAACCTGTGGTATTATTTTCTGGACCTGGTATGGACCCGATGGTAAGCAATCAGTGCGTCCAGAGCATGAACGCTGCTCATGAATTGATCATACAGGGTACTGGTGTTTGGACCCCGCACAAATGTTTTCAATTTTCTGTCCCATCTTTGAATACCGCAAATTAGTTGATCACTAGCAAAAGTGCTGGCTACAAGAATTGCTCTGTTGTCAAACCATTTGGCAGCTCTTACTTCTACATTATCCACAATGACTGTCTTTTCTTCAAATGTCGCGGTGACCTATTATACTGATGGAATAAGAATTGCCTCAAGAAAATGCTAAAACCAACGCTAAATGCAAATATGTGCATTGCAGTTTGCATTTGCGAAAGAAGTGGTTTGCGGCGTTTACGCGACATCCGGCATTAAGGGGTTCACCTCTTATATGCCAAATTGCACGTCAAACCCACTCACTACTTTTCAGTGGTTGTAACTTCAAACAGGCCGCAAATTGCGGTGACCTGTTATACTGACAGAATCAGATTTGCTTCCAGAAAGTGCCAATATCAACCCTGAAAGAAAATCTGCGTTCTAGGTTGCATTTGCGGTAAAAGCGCTTTAAGGTGTTTTCGCGACATCCGGCATTAAGTGAGAGGGAATCCTGGCCAACAACACGAAAATGATTGAGGGCTGTGATCGCGCTTCGGATCTCAGTCTCCGACGGAGCCCTTAAATTGACCGGCCATGGTTCATCCTGCATCACCTGAGTAGGAAGAGGTCTGGAAGCAGGAGGCCAACTGAATTGATCTTCATGGTGCTCCGCTCAACAATCTATACAGCGTTCTTTATTGTGAATCATGGCACCCGCGCTGTATCTGACTGTCTCACTGACGCCTGGTTTCCTGGGATCAGGGGCGCTGGTCATTTGGGGGAGAGCTTGCGATAATTTCTTACTGCTCCCGCCTCCTCCATTTCTTGAGCCCGGCTGATCCACCGGGCTTCCTTATCAGCCCGTAAGCTCCGCTTCAGTTCTCACCTAATATCCCGTCTCGTAACATTGTGCCCAGAGCCAGTCGGGTGTTTTCCTCTGGATTTGCGTCGAGCATGGCTGCCGAGATCCTGCTACACTGAAGCTCAGTGTCATTAGACAAGAGAGCGAAAGTTGGTACGCAGTGCGTCTTAATAGGCTTACCTGACCGAGGGTTGAGACAATTTCTCCGTTGTTAATCGTTGGAGACTCTTGATGCACCTCCTGGCTAAGTTCTTGGAAAAACGACAGTGTAGCAAGGCATGATCAGAGTCGACGCAAGTACTTCAGAACGAGCGACAATTCAGGAATGAACCACGCCACCTGTAACTTCTGGCAGTGTGATCTATTTAGATCCATCGCTGGTCAGGTACAGGAGGACGCCAGGTGGCAGTTCGTCGCCCACTGTGTCTAAAAGCAGTACAGCTGGTGTTTCGCGCACAATTGCAACAGTCGCTCGCCGTTGTCCGTCCGTTCTGTGTGAAGGTCAAATTACCACCTAGCTGAGCTACTGAAAAGCCAATGCGACCTAATTGCGCATTTGAATTCTCTGCAAGGACTATGGTATCTGAGCTGGTAACACTGTGAAGCATTCTGTCCATTTCATGGTAGATGGTGTCCTTGGTAGCATCAGAACTGCGGTCGCTGTTGGCACTTGCGGAAACTACAGACAAACAGCGTCTAGCGCTACTTCGTGAATCAACCTTAGTTGAAGTTGTCAAACGGGTTGCATACGAACGGACGTTCCCAGGGATCCAATCAATCAACAATGACTCAGTCTTAGAGCTGAGAAAGTTGCTCACCCTAGTTTGACCAGTGGTTGCCGCATCAGCGCCTCCGAATGTCCGCAATCAACAGCGAGAGAACCAACCAGACGCAGTTAATTCATAGTTCCTAGTTTTGGACACAACGCACGTCAATAACCAGTGTTCAACGTGCGTGCGAGTGCAGCCTGTTGACTTATTCGTCTTGGATTGCGAACGTTGAATACTGCCAGGGAAACGAAACAGCATGGTCTTATAAGGGACTGTTGCCGATAGACATCCAGTTGGTGGTGGGGGAAGTAGCTGCAGGTAGTTCGATTCCAGTGGTATTACAGCTGTTATCAATTAACCTGAGGATTATGATGGTAGGTTAGTAATTGGGCTTGGGAAGGGAGTAATGGAAACAGTTAGGAAAGAGAAGTTAATCACCAGCAGTAGCATGTTTTTGCTTATCCGCCCTACTATACTCAGCAGATACGGCGACCCTTGATAATTTGCGCGGCAGCCGATGCAGGCTGGAGTTAGAGTTTGGGGAACTTGTCATGGTTGTACTTGGGTTGCTATACTAATAGGGTGCCCAAATCTAGACAGCTGGACGATTAGGGTCCGCAACCAAAGCCTTTGACTCAAAAACCTGCCCGCAAGGCAGCGGGAGGTGGTAATAATTTGGTTTTACAAAGCGGTACGCAAACCGTCGCACCACGTTAAGGTCCAGTCTCGTTGCGACGGGATCTGTGTCTGGATTGTGACACAGTTGCCGTTGTCCGTGCCTTCGGTTTTTTATCCAAACCTCGCACTTAGTTTATTTCCTAAGGAACACAGAGGACCTACATGTACATCAGGCTTCGCGGGTGCAATTGGTAAACCTCTCTCTGCGCTTATGCGGGAACTGTGACACTGCTCACTGTTTCTTCAATCGAGAATCGGTGCCTCGTTTGTCTTTCTAAATGAAAAGGGATAGTTTTGCTTCACTTGCTGAATCTGTTAACAAACTCAGAACACATCAATATAATCGCTCTCAGAACCACACCACAAAAATCGGTATTCTGTCAAGTGTTACAGCAAAGTCCACTATTTAAAGGGTTCAGTTCGATGCCACTTATGGCTTCATAATATTTCCACCTGTTAATAGAGTGAATAGTAGAGGATCTATACATTTCTCTGCCTTTTGCATGTGATGGTCGATTCGGTCGCTATTTTTGACCCACATATGTAATTACGGTGCTCTTCTCAGATGTCTTCATGACTTCATCCTTACCTTAACTGCGCAGTGTTTCCATACTGATGTAAGGGAAAGCTGCCTTTCCACTATACTTATTGCTGACTTGCCGGTGTTACCGGCGTTTGAGCGTTAACCCTTAGATTTTCGCCGCCTATTACTGTCGCTTATCCCAAAACCGTCAATTTTTTCGCGATCCGCAACTAAGCGGTTATGGACCTATTTGGTGTCGGATGACATTGTTGTGAATTCGTACGTCTGATATGCCGGTCGGTATTCATGCGCACCCACTGTCAAAAAAATCGCATGTTCTACATCCACCCTTTTTGATAGGCAGTACGCTTCTCATTTGTCCCCTGCGGGACCGGAACCCACAGTCTTCCTCTTACTAGTCCGTGATTAAGGCCCGAGAAGATGAAACGCCGGTACACAGCTTTTTCGAATGTGTGGTGGTCTTTACCACTTCCATGCAATGAGGTTACTGCTGAACTGTTGAATCACTTCCGCTCCACAATGGCTGGGTGCACAATCCCCTTAGCTAACTTGAACCCCGTTTAGTTTTAATCTACATTTCATAATAAATTTTGGCGGTACGCTATGTCTCACGTCAATTCAGCATGCATTTCCATCTGCTTATCTGGACTGAAGGGCATTCTTTCGAGAGTTGGTCGATCACCCCAGAAATTTGGACGAAAGTCATTTTCGAAACGCACGGTTCGGATTTGATCAGCGTCATTTTACTCTCATGCCTTGTAACCACCAGCTGCTTCATTTATTCAGCTGTCGTTCAAATTAGTTTATCGGACACTTGCCCAAATTTCACTACGGATCTTGAAAGCACTATTGACAGTGCGATTCTTTAGTCCGAACCGATTTTGATCTGGGTGCTGAAACGTTTTCCTTCGATAGGCTCCCACTTCTGGCTCCAATGAGTCTCTTTGGGGTAGCACCACGGTGGTTTCAATCGTGAAAGCCCCTCCTGGCCTGATGTTATCCTTTTTGTCCGCGTTGATGCCGGACCAACGGACACATCACCCTCGCCCCATAATTCACCCTCTTTGTCATGACTTGTGTAGGTGTGCGATGAAAATCATCTAAAATATGCTATCTTGGATAAGTTTTCGATAAGCTCTATTATTCTACCGAATTCATCTGCTGTGACTCCGTGCGACAGTGAAATGTTTCTAGTGCTTCACGACCATCCATGCTGTTTCCTTATTCAATTCCATTTTTGTCATAACTGTTGCTTCCTTTTTTCTCTTTCACAGTCCAGTTCAAATGCGGTCAAACGGACTGATGAGCTTGATTCATTTGGCAATCCAACTGAATCGTCTACCGACATCCGGCGCCGATCAGTAGCGCGGAACTGAATATGAAGGCGAAAAAACGTGGTCTTCTTTGATCACATTGCAATCTCAGTCCGGCCTCGCGAGGCCTTGAAACCCATCAATCACCCGCCTTGTTTGTGCCAAAGATATTTTTACCGTCTGCGCCCACAACGCGCGTCATCCTTTTCACACCCAATTTTTGTCCCACCTCTCCCCCATCCTTGTAGCACTATTTTTATCTCCCTTTCCCATTGTGTATACCTGCCCCCTCATGTCTATTTATTGCGATATCTTGCCTCGCAAACAGGAAAACTGAATTTTTTCGAATGTTGCGCGAGAAGGTGGTATCCCTTTAGTTACTCATCCCGCAACTGGTTTGGATGGTTGCGCACGACTCGCGTAATCACTTCGTTCTCCACTTACCTCTTCCGCGTCGAATCCCATCCACACACACATCTGACCTGTAATCTGTTCGTCCCTTCATCCTCGCGCAGTGATCGTTAGCATTCACTGTACACCTAATTCAGATATATCGTGCTTTTCTCGATCGACGTGTCTCCTATCCATGCAAGCAAAATCACGGGCGGTGTGCTACCTAGCCATCCGATAAACTAGAACTCAAACTGAGTTTCAATTAAAATCTATTGGACACATTAATTACGCGTTCTTTAGTTACACTTAAGGATAACGGCCAAGGTCTTTACCTCTGCAGCATTGTAGCTGAAGCTTGTTGTTCACCTTCAACTAATGTGCCACGATGATTATGGCGCAGCGACTACCTCCTTTTCGCTAATCTCCATGGTTTTTGTTGGCTTTGTTTGTTCACTAGATTGTTGAGACTACTAATACCCCTAAGCGGCTCGCGGCGCTTGTCACAATGACTTATTGAGGGGATGGTTTTCATTTTGAAACACTCGATGTATGAATGAGTTGCGACGTGCAATCTCAATGTGGACCGCGATTCGCATTGCAGTGAACCTCGGTCAATTCCATCGCTGGGACCGTAATTGATGTGTAGAAAGTGTTGAATATTGCGAGCTCATCCCACTGCACTCCGCGGCTGGTTTCGAACTTAATTGATCTCGTGCGGTAGATTTGGCAACCCTCTGGATCTAATACTTGACGATCGGCACCTCGGTTACTGGGCCACTGAGCTTCGCAGATAACATTTACGGCAGCGGTTGCGCTGTTGTACCAAATTTTACTTTTCGCCTTTACAATAATGGTAAGACCTATTGGAGGGTCATTTTGAAGTGCAGGTTGTGTGATTGGATTGCCACACACAGTCTCAATGTGGACCGGGATTCGCATTGACCAATTCCACAACCAGGACCGTAGCTGAAGCAGACGGAAATTGGGTGCTGCTCGTCCTACTTCAGGTTATATTTGATGTGCTGATTTCAAATGTCCCGTCAGTTTCTATGTATCAGCTCTAGCTTTGGTGGTAACTGTATAACACTCCCGTATAGACATTGAAATTGCTCAACTAAAGCTGTAATATATATATATATATGTTACGAATACAGTTAATCTTCAAATTAATGTTATTAATGTTAGCCGTATGCCCATAAATGATGAATAGGAGGGTTAGGCTGTACTCTAAAAACGAGAGCTGTAATGGAGTTCAGGCTTGGAATCGGTATCAAGAATGTATCCTAGAGCATGACTCCGTTCCGATGTAAAATTTGTATTGAATAATGTTGTGCTTTTAGAGTATCCACGATGTGTTTGAGCTGCTATGCGCAATTCTACTTAGGTCGTATTCGCAGTGAAATTCAGTCACTCCGAACTGAAGGGTTTTTCTGTGGGGTCCACTCCTAACGCTGAAGTTCTCGACTACTGTTCCAATCGTTGTTCACGCTTCTCATTGGCCAGTCGACCACTTTGCTAGGCACCACTACCAGCTCCCGCTATCTCCAGCTGAATAATCCGAGCAGAAACAAAACTGACTATGGGGTACAGTATTTGGGGCAACTAACACCAAAACCCCTTCGCGTGCACTTCTCGGGGGAAAGCATTGACCGCGGTATACTTCAGAGTAAACGGTTATCACTTCCTTTCTCTCATCTCACCAACCGAAAAGGTGGCATATATTACAACACGAACACTGAATCGCGCGCTCATTTCTATCTTCACTGCTTTGATCTCCTGGGAAGTGTGTTTTCTCTGATGGCATATCAGCATCCAACTACTTCTTCCCATGTGATATTTCAAGGACCATCTCCGGCCAAAGTCCAGAATCGTTCCATACCGTCTCGCTCCTCGTGCAGGATTCTATCATTGCAGCTTTTCCGATGAACACCTAGGTGTAGTCGCTCTACAATTTCCCCTTTTCACTTTACTATTGCTGATGTGTTTGCATCCGGTCACTCCCCCTCCCGCCGTAATCAGCGGCAGCCTCGGTTGTGATTAGAAGTCTTCATGCAGCACGTTGAGTGGATAACACAACCTCCTCAGCTGCATTCAGTTACTAGCATTTATCCATACTCCAGCTGGCTCCTCGATACGTCTTATCTGTTCACCTTCTATCCCTACTACGGTCAAGTATGTCGGCGATGTTTTAATGATCGGTTAGTAAGCCGAAATTATCGTCTGTTCTCGTGTCAGTAACAAGGATTGTTCGTCCTACAATTCATCTTTGGAATTCACTGCGGTGCACAACTCTTCGTCCTATATCTAGGCGGCTTCGTTGTTGGTATGTTCGCTGGGTCTGTAGCTGGGCCAAAATAGCGCTTATATCCATGTGTTTGTGCACAATGCATTGCACGCGTGTCAGATTATCTGACGTTATCATTTCAATCGATGGCGTTATTCTTCACTGTACCTCGGTGGCCTCATTTCGGCGCACTACTCAGTCTGATATGTTCACGTTTTCTGCTACATACACGGAGGCACGTACATTGAGCGTCTAACGGCCAAACCGTCTAGGTCACCTTGTGATCCACTAAAGTCCATCATTGTCTGTTTTTCTTCAACCTATACCATTTCCCTCGGGTGGTGCTCCGCATTACTATTCCACCAGACCAGATGCGATACCTCTGGAGAAAAATGTTGGTTGTCTGTTTTTAGGCTTATCTCCGCTCCCAAGTTCAGGATCACTAGACGTATTCAACTGCGATGTCGTCCGGTTGTCAATTTGCTAATAGAATTTCGCATCGCGAAATCTTTTCAGCGACGGCATCACGAGTCATACATATCTCACTCTGTCCGGTGGTTATTGAGAAAATTGCCTCTCGTGCACAAAGTTATTTTGGCTGATAATTTGTTTTCCTGTCCTGTCGACTTTGATTCTCCTTCCTCCCCGGCTCCTCTCCAGTTGTTTGTTGTCGTCGCTGCACTACGGTCCGTTCATCATAATGCAGTACATCCGGTTGTTTTGTTTAGCATCACCATCACAATAATGTCATAGTAAAAAGCGAACATGATAGAGAAAGATCAATTCAAAAGATCAAGCGGTTCCATAAATTCGTCGGGCTAGAAGATCAGAAATCCGGTACAGGTGATTGAAAGAGTGGGCGCGCTTGTCTTCTTGACTGCATATTTGACAGCGTTTCCAGCAAGTTACTTTGTCAATATTATTGACATACCAGTTTCTGTGGAACCTGACAGGCCACGCAATACGGCCGGCTCGAATGTCACTGAAATGTTTTCCCTCTTCGTGTGTCTCGGCTTTAGAACGTTCTTCCTAATTTCGTTGTCTCTACTTTCTGTGACCAAAAGCGCCTTGATGTGCTTCTAGCCTACCTATATTGCTGCACTCATTGAGGAGGCTGGTGGTGGCTATCTGTGGAGGTACCGCTGCATTGCTTTCGACGCTACCGCAGTAGTAACAGTGGTACTACCGTTCTTCTTTCTAAATGTACAAACGGCATGTTTGTTGTCACATTTAGCGGAAGTTCTGATGAACGGAACTGGTGTCACAGCCGGCTTTTGGCACAAAACACTAGTACAGCAGTAGTCTGTCTTCTACAACTAACCCGTCTACACTGGTTTTGCTCTTCTCTTTATATTCTCTCAGTATTCCTTACTTTCAATTGTTACATCTGGTTGAGTTTCACTTCCAGATGATCGGACGATGACTTGGTAAAAGAATATGAAACTTACTTATATCTTCCTGTATGTTGGCCTATCGGCTAACCACGCTAATGGTTGAACATTTTATGCAGCCGGAATGAAGATCTTTTATTTGATCTGACCATTGCTTCTGAATCGCGCACCGTGTTTTTTACTTCCATTTGACTTGCCTTACTTCCTCATCTGCTTTTTCTTACCATAGATGTGTGGAAAGACTGATAGGTCGCTTCGGCGTTCGGAGCATATTTGAAGTGTTGCACTGAGTGGCATGTCGTTTGGAAGTTATTTAGTGCAGAGATGGCGTTGATTTCAATCCGTCCTTAAATCATTTTCGTCGTTGAAAGATATATAGCGGGGTGGGTTACACTTCTTACGGTCACTCTTTGTAACCACATGGTCTTAGGGTGATTCCAACCCAACACGTGTTTGCTCATAGTGAATACTTCTCAGAATGTAATCGTTCTGTTCTGTATCCTTTTCCTAGCCTAAAGCCCGCGATACCCTCCATGCAAGCATAGCGTTTGATGGAGCCCACTGCTTTCAGTTTCATGGAGGTCGACAGTTTACGCGAACTTCCGGGTGCCTTCTGGTTGGGGTCAAGGCGTGTCATCATCTGATCGGAAGCATTACGCGCTTTTGTTGCAATCCGGAGGTCACCGGTTCAAACCCACGTAGATGCGAGCGACTTTGCGGTATGCCCGATTCGGACACCTCTGGTAGCGATCCCGTGACAGTGAAGCATCCGTACGGTATGCTGAAGCACTGCTACTGTCTTTATCTGGGAAGAAATGAATGAGTTATACACCGTTTATGAGACTATTCACATTAATTACGTCCATCGTTGAGTATAGTCATTGTATTTGGTCTGTGAAGTCTGGTGTACCGCGAAATTCATTCTTTCTAGCGATGGATGTAATTGATATATAATATGATACAAAGTCAGTATTGTCATTTGCCGTTCCCTCTAAAATCTCGAGTACAGTGAGATTTTGCTTCTGTTAGATCTACTTTGCCTAACTGGCATGCTCCCCATACGGTCTTATTTGCGGTATAAACGTTTGCCGTAATACAGAGCGGTCAAACCAACTGGACGTCATCCGTAATTGACCGTATCGATCTCAGGTTTTCGACACTTTCACTAGTTGTTTCGAGCATCTGAAATCATCCAGTACCGCAGCCCCAAATGCACACTCCCTGGATATTACCTTCAAGTTGTGACCTCCGGACATACGTAATCCATTTGTTTGCTGACGTGTTTCGCTTTACATTAGTCTGTCTAGATGGGAGTTGCCTACTCTTTGACAATACATAAGATTCGCTCTGGTCTCGCTGGGGTAATCGCCGACTTTGCTTACGGATCGCCAGTCACATATTGGTACAGTAAATGAACTGTAAGCAATTCGGGGCTTATTTGCTCGTATGTCCATTAATGAACTCTAGAAATAAGTGTGGCATCAACTTTGAAACATGTAGA